GTGCCGCATGTAGCCGCGGGCACGGAGTCCGAACTAGCGGACATTTAAAAATGGCGGCGCCCGGCAAGATGCAAATGAAGCCCAGGAAATTCAAATCCCGGGCTTCATTTGCAACTTCGGTTGCCTACATTAACCACCCTAGTTCGAACTAGAGTGGTAGTGTAGACATACCCTTAGATACTACTTCAATTTCAAGCACAATCGGATAGATGTCTATTTGTTCACACCTGCAGAAACACACATGTTGGTATTTAGATATTCATCTGATTTCACCAACAAAGCAGGTAGCTTGCTAGCACCTAACACCACAATTTAATTGCAGGGGCAATTTTATGCCCATAAAGTTTGAAATGGGGTGAGGTTGGGTTTTTTTTAATTAACTTTTAAGGTCTGATCCTGTAATATAGTGGTTTCCAACCTTTTTACACCCAAGATCACTTTGCTGCGGAAGAGTTTTTCCGAGGTATCTCTGGAATCCTGGAAAAACTCCTGCAGTCTAGCCGTACCCTCACTGGGTTGAGACAGAATATGTGGGCTGTGGGGTGGGAATGAGGGATTTGGGTGTGGGAAGGGTTGAGAGGTGCAAGCTCTGGGAGGAAATTTTGATGCAGGAGGAGGTGGAGAAGGGGATGCTGGCTCAGGGAGGGGACTCCAGGCTGGGGAGTGTTAGGGTCAGATGGAGGATTGGGGTGCTGAGCAAGCTACAGGCTTGTGGCTGTGAGGATGCAGAAGTTTGGGTTGGGATGTGTGAGGGGCTCAGGGCAGGGAGGTTGGGAGTATGTTGGGCTTAGGACACAGATTTTCAGTGTGTGGATGGTGCAGGAGTGGTGTGGCAGAAGACTGAGGATGTGGGGGTGCAGGAGTTTGGGGATGTGAGAGGCTCAGGACAGGGAGTTCTAGTGTATGACAGCCTCAGATTTGGGGTCAGGATGGGGGGTACAGGAGTGTTATGATGCTGTGGCCAGATGGGAGCTTGGCCCCAACTGGGGGCTTGTTGGCCAGGCTTCATTTTTAAATACAATATTATGTCAAACACAAAAGATTTCAGCATTGTCTTTATTTATGCGAGGGAAGGGGAACCTGTTTTGAGTCAGGGGTCACTGACCTATAGAAACGTCACTTGGGGCCACACAAGTGAGAGACAAAAACACAACCCCTCCAAATCCCTCAAGCCTCACTAATGTGGCCCAAACTGTGCTGGTGAGGGCAGGGGACAGGGTGCTGGGGCAGGATGTCAATGGGTGCCAAGGCAGGTTGTCAATAGGTGCCGGTGGGTGCTGGGGCAGGGTGCCAATGGGTGCCGAAGCAGGGGTCAGGGTGCTGGTTGGTGCAGGGGCTGGTGACAGGGTACTTGTGGGTGTTTGGGCGGGGACAGGGACCGGTGCCTGGGGATCCTGCACCTGTGTGCCAAGGCTCAGGAAGTGCATGGGGTGCTCCCCTGTCCCCCAAACAGCGGTGTAGTACCTGAAACACCGATCCGTCACTTTCTTCCCCTGCTGCCTTCATTCACGGGGGGAGGAGACTTCAGAAAAGCAGACTTCAATTCTCTCAGAGACTTGACGGGCAGAATCCCTTGGGATGCTAACATGAAGGGGAAAGGAGCCCAGGAGAGCTGGCAGTATTTTAAAGAAGCCTTATTGAAGGCACGGAAAGAAATCATTCCAATGCGTAGCAAGAGAAACAAATATGGTAGGAGACCAGATTGGCTTACCGGGGAAATCCTTGGTGAACTTAAGCACAGAAAGGGAGCTTACAAAAAGTGGAAACTTGGATAGATGACTAGGGAGGGGTATAAATGTATAGCTCAAGAATGCAGGGGAACCGGACTGGCTTATAGGGGAAATCCTTGGTGAACTTAAGCACAAAAAGGAAGCTTACAAAGAGTGGAAACTTGGACAAATGACCAGGGAGGAGTTTAAAGGTATAGCTCGAGAATGCCGGGGGGTTATCAGGAAGGCGAAAGCGCAAATGGAATTGCGACTGGCTAAGGATGTGAAGGATAACAATAAAGGTTTCTACAGGCATGTTAACAAGAAGAAGGTGATCAGAGAGGGTGTGTGGCTCCTAATGGATGAAGGAGGTAACCTAGTGACAGATGATGTGGGGAAAGCTGAAGTACTCAATGCTTTCTTTGCCTCTGTATTCACGGACAAGGTCGGCTCCTGGACTTCTGCGCCAAGTGACGCAAGATGGGATGAAGATGGACAGCCCATTGTGGGTAAAGAACAGGTTAGGAACTATTTAGAAAAGCTAAACGTACATAAATCCATGGGTCTGGACTTAGTGCATCCGAGGGTACTGAGGGAGTTGGCAAATGTCATTGTGGAGCCTTTGGCTATTATCTTTGAAAAGTCGTGGCGATCGGGAGAGATCCCAGATGATTCGAAAAAGGGAAATGTAGTGCCCATCTTTAAGAAAAGGAAGAAGAACGATCCAGGGAACTATAGGCCAGTCAGTCTTACCTCAGTCCCAAGAAAAGTCATAGAGGGGATCCTCAGGGAATCTATTTTGAAGCACTTGGAAGAGGGGAAGGTGATCAGGAATAGTCAGTATGGATTCATGAAGGGCAAGTCGTGCCTGACCAATCTGATTAGCTTCTATGATGAGGTAACTGGCTCTGTGGATAAGGGAAAGTCAGTGGATGTGATATACCTTGACTTTAGCGAGGCTTTTGATACGGTCTCCCACAATATTCTTGCCAGCAAGTTAAGGGAATGTGGATTGGATAAATAGACGGTAAGATGGCTGGAAGGTCGGGCCCAGTGAGCCGTGATCAACGACTCGATGTCAGGATGGTGGCTGGTTTCTAGCGGAGTGCCTAAAGGTTTGGTTGTGGGACCAGTTTTGTTCAAAATCTTTATTAATGACCTGAATGAGGGGATGGATTGCACCCTCAGCAAGTTTGCGGATGACACAAAGCTGGGGGGAGAGGTAGATACGCTTAAGGGCAGAGATAGGGTACAGAATGACTTAGACAAATTGGAGGATTGGGCCACAAGAAATCTGATGAGGTTCAACAAGGACAAGTGTAGAGTCCTGCACTTGGGACGAAATAATCCCAAGCTTATTACAGGCTGGGGACCAACTGGCTAAGTAGCAGTTCTACAGAAAAGGACCTGGGGATTCCAGTGGATGAGAGGCTGGATATGAGTCAACAGTGTTCCCTTGTAGCTAAGAAGGCTAATGGCATATTAGGTTGCATTAAGACGAGCATTGCCAGTAGATCCAGAGATTTGATTATTCCTCTTTATTCCGCTCTGGTGAGGCCACATCTGGAGTGTTATGTACAGTTCTGGGACCCCAATTACAGGAACATTATGGATGCATTGGAGAGGGTCCAGCGGAAGGCTACTGAAATGATTAGGGGGCTGGATCATATGACCTACGAGGAGAGGCTGAGGGAGTTGGGTCTATTTAGTCTGCAGAGGAAAACAGTGAGGGAGGATTTGAAAGCAGCCTTCAGTTTCCTTAAGGGAGGTTCGAGACAGGCTGGAGAGAGGCTGTTCACAGTAGTGATGGATGGTGGAACAAGGAGCAATGGTCTCAAGTTGCGGTGGGAGAGGTCCAGGATGGATATTATGAAAAACTATTTCACTAGGAGAGTGATTTAATTGGGATTGGTCCTGCCTTGGGCAGGGGGCTGGACTTGATGATCTCCTGAGGTCTCTTCCAGCTCTATGGTTCTATGATTCTAGGTGGGGAGTGGGAGTCCTGGAGCGTGCCAGCTCCAACTGCTCAGGCAGCACGCGCATTGCTCCTCTGCTCCCCACGGCAGCGCGTGCTGTCTGAGCAGTTGGAGCTGGCGCAGTCCTGGACTCCCACTCCCTCCCCAGTCCTTCCACTGTGCACAGGAAGGCAGCATGGGAAGAAAGTCCCCAGCGCGCAATGGACCTGTGTTTTTGGTACTGTGCCAGCTGTTTGGGGAGGAGGGAAGAGCAGCCCATGCACTTCTGGGACTTCGTGCGAAGCTGCAGAACTTCCCCTTCATCCCGACAGGAAGCCTGCACTACCTCCATTATCCCTGGAGTAGCAGCAGTGTGGGGTTCATTTTGGGGGTTGGGGGCCCCCAAAAGCTTCGCGATAGACTGGCTGGTGAACATGTCTGTAATAAATATTAGTGTTAGTTATAGATGATTTTGTTGTTCATGAACATGCAGCATATATTTTAAAAGACTAATAAAACCCTTTAGAATTATGTGCTAAATGCCCCAGATAATTAGGAAATAAGGACATTCATGTTTTTGCTAGTGTAAAACACAGCTTTTGTCCTTATTTATTCCTTCAGATCCAGTGATTCTCTCTCCCTCTCTCTCTGATGCACCAGCATGCACTCTGCTGGTGGCATTGAATACACACAAGTGCTAGTATGGGTAAGGCAAAACCCATTTGGTTAAAGTAATTTGTGATTTTTTGGTAAATATTATTCTATATATACATGATACAAATATTAAAACCTTGCAACACTATAAAAGTATGGAATTTTCCTTCTTCTTAGACCTGCACTGGTCCCTAGTGAGGGTTTAGTGATGGTTGTGATGTGACTAGTTGAGTGCATGCTGGTCCAAACAAGTACTGGCAAATCTGGATGTCAGAAACATAAGGAGGAAAAAATAAAGGTAAGTTTTAAACTAGCAGAGGAGTTGTTGAAGGCACTAAGCACAAAATTCTGAAGCTGTATGACTTTTAAAACTATATTTACAGGTCCTTTTTAAAAGGGCTCTGCCAAAGTTTCTAAGGCTCCATCTACACTGTCAGGTTTTTGCGGAAGAGGAAATGAAATGAAGCACTCATTAGCATTTCTTGCACTCTCATTTGCATATTCTCTTCTAATCCTTTCTGTGGAAGAGGTTTTTGTGGAAAAAAACGCAATGTAGATAGAGCCATTTTGCGTAAAAAAAACCCTTTTGTGCACAAACCCTTGTTCCTTGAGGGATAAGGGTTCTTGTGCAAAAGAGGTTTTTTGTGCAAAATGGCCCTGTCTACACTGCGTTTTTTTCCGCAAAAAGGATTGGGAGAGAATATGCAAATGAGAACGCAAGAAATGCTAACGAGCACTTCATTTGCATTTCCTTTTCCGCAAAAATGATGCCAGGTAGATGTAGCCCATGTGTTGTATTATAAATGGAAAGCAGATGTTTCCACGGGAAAGGGGTGAATTCAAATCACGTACTCCTCATGTTCATACATGATGGCATTTAGTGGTATAGTGGCATCTGTTATCCCAACACTCTTGAATGTTTGAGCTCCAGAGCACACACAAACACAGCCTACAAAGACATTAGCAGCATTAAACTATGGTGCAGATGTGTGTGTGTGTGTTACATTGTTGGAACATCTCTTCTAACTTGGGAAGCAGAGTGTAATCAGTTTGGTGGGAATTTCTTTTCAGAGATTTGGAAGTGCTTCACATTTCAATTATTAAATATATATAATTTTGCTTTGGGAGGTAAAGCATTCTTAGAAAACACTTGGAAATAAATCTTGTACAATTTCTCTCTCTCTCTGTGTGTGTGTGTGTAAACAAAGAGGAGGTTAGCACATGCTTGAGAAAAATATTTTAAAACTATAAATATATATATATACACTAGTAGTCATTTTTAGAGGAATATTTTAAAAACATGATTGTGACAGAATTAGAATAAGGAGGTAACAGTGTACAGAGGCTTCAAAACATATTTGACACGGCTAGTGTAAGTTAAAGATCCTCCTAGTTTGTAATAAGTTTTTTCTAATGCTGCATCAAGGAAGGGCAAAGACATTAATCTTAAGTGTCACATATTTCAGATGCTGGAATCCCAGACATGGAAATAGAACACAATGGAACTCAACATGACAGTGCAGCAATGCAAGGTGCAGTATGCATTTATAGTATTCCAGAGAAATGAGATTCAATGTAGCATTAGCTTGGTCTAAGTTTTAATGCCTAATAACATTAAATCTAGAAATGTCTGATGACATTAATCTAGAAAACAATTAAAAACTGTGAAGGAATTACATTATTTTTAATAGAGGTTGAACCTCTCCAAACTGTTGGACCACAGATGTTACTGGAGCAGAGAGTCCTGGTGGAAGACCAGAGGCAGGAAGCCTGTGGGGGCTAGGAGGGCAGCCAGACTGGCTGCAGGGGGCCAGCAGCTGAGATCCCTGCTGCGGGAGTCCAGCTGAGCTGGCGTCAGCGTGACCAGAATGCCAGCAGGATCCAGTGGAACAGCAGTCTGCCGTGGCAGGGCCAGGAGCCCTGGCACTGGTTCTGTGCGCTGCCACAGCAGGGCTGGTGAGGCTGGGAGCTCTGGCAGCAGAGGAGTGGTCTACCGCAGCAGGGCCAGGAGCCCTGGTCGGGGGACCGTGAGCTGGCAGGACCTGTGCTGCCATGACAGGGCTACGAACCCCAGTATTGGGGCAGCAGTCAGCCACAGTGGGTACGGGAGCCCAGGCCGTGGAACAGTGGTCTGCCGAAGCTGGGCTGGGAGCTTCATCAGCAGGACCATGGGCTTCTGTAGTGGTCCGACAGGGCTGGTGGCAGGGCAGGGGACCAAGCTAAGAGGCCAGGCCAGGAGCAGAACCTGGCTGGGGGACCCATGGCAGGGATGCCAGAAATTATCTCCCCAGGCCCAGCAAAATCCCTTGTTTGGGACCGCTCAGGTCCCAAGAGTGCTGGACCAGGGAGATCCAACCTGTATAGTATGAGAAAAATCTCATGCTTCACTGCCAAACTGGCACATATGTAGGTTTAATCCATACCCTGATGTCCTTTCGATTTGTCATGCCTTTTAGACTTGTCAGGCTTTTCAGATATTTTTCATCCCACTATTTATTCACAAGTCAAATTCAGAGGGTTTTGAGTGTGTATATTATGTACAGAAATGTATATGCCCTGCATATATTTAAAATCATCATTAGAAGTGCACGGATAGCTAATCACAAATGCCAAAATGATTACCAAGAAAAGTGTCTATACGTATTTTATACGTACACCAAGGGCTTGACAAATCACTGAATCTACTTGCCCGGGGCAAGTAGATTTCAGCTGGTCGCCCTGTTCACCAGCGGCATGCATATGTGCAATGCGGGTCTTACGCATGCGCAGTGCAGGGCTGGCAAGTAGGTTTTGCCGCCGTTTGTCAAGCCCTGAGTACACCCATATGTGTTCGTACACATGGTCTTCTTCTCCTGGTATGTCTACACTGTATATGTCAATTCTGCTCAAGCTAACATGTTAAAAATAACATATGGAAGTTGTAGCATTGTCTAGAATGCAGTGTAGACATATCCTCAGCTTCTCTCTTCTACCCTCACCAATCTGTTTCTGAACCCATGGCATATTTCTGATAGAAAGGTCACTCCTTGTTGAATTTGAAGTCCATGTTGCAAAGGACAGAAATTCTAGAGCTTTTCAAATAAAAGGTTACCCAAACTGGCAAAACAATGAATGTTTTCCTAATCTTGGTCTTGAAAATGGCTTAATGACTTTGGATAAAATTTTCTCAGACACGCACAATGAGGAAAATATTCAGCATGGAAAATTTCCTCCCAAAATTTGGCAAATGTACAAGCAGTCTTTTGGGGGTATTCTAATGGAAGTTGTCATTCGATCTTAAAAATAGCCAGTGCGCTCAGTTCTGCATGTATTTCTAAAAGGGTTTCATTGACATTTTGGTTGCTAGTTTTGTATTTCTAATGATAATTTCAGTAACCTACTATAAATGGAGGACAATAATAATTAGTATTTTGCTGTAAGTTATTGAAATTTAGAAGTTAGATAAAAATATCAGCAGAAATTAACAAATAGTTGGAATTTTCCCACTAAATTTGGAAAACGAAAAGTATACTTAAATCTTGCTTACAAAGCCCCAAAGTACTACACTGACATTATTGTTGTTCATACAGCATGAACCAAAGGTATGCCTTAATCCTATCAGGAAAGAAAGTGAATTTCCATATTTAATTGAAGAAAAAGAAAACATTTTCAAATGGGAGTTGCAAATACACTTTGGACCATGCCCTAAGTGATTGAGAGAGGGAGGCTAAGATGTTCAGGGGTTTGGTTGAGCATATTCTAGTTTAGTGCTCCCCTATAAATATAAAAATGACTGCATAAAACAGGACACCGTATATTTTAGTTTTAAATCTATCAGAAGCTGTTTACTGGGCAAATCATTGTCTTCATCTGATTTTGTTCAAGTTAATGTTCTCTTATTAATCACAACTGGTCTACAAAATTATGTAAATTTCCATTCTGCATAAACATGCTGGTTGACACTGATGAAGCTAAATGTCCTGCTAGAATTGTTTTGGAATTTTGCAAATGCAAAATGCAAGTCCAATCTTTGTGTGGGTTGGTGCACTCAATGTCCAGTATTAACAGTACCACAAAATCACAATTTCTGCTATAACAGAAGGTTAGGTACAAAAAATGTTTTCTTTCCTTCATGCTGAGAAATAAGAATAGAAATATTATCAGGACTCATCTTAAAAATAGTATATCACCAGTAACAAATGACTGCCATAGAGCCTTTCCAGGCAGTTCTGTTCATACTTAAAACTGCTGTGAGCTAAGACAGTACTTGCACAAGAACACAATAAGCTTGAAACATGGCTATTATGAAGTGTTCTCTAGCTAATTCAGTATTAAGCTTTGTTTTGGCTTTCACTGCAATTCTGCTATGTAGCATTGTGTCCCATATCCTTTTATACTATGTTGATATGGTATTATCTTTTCCATTTTCTTTTGATTACACTTTTTCAAAACTTGGCAGCTAAAATTGCCCTTTAGCCTTTAACAATTTGAATATAACCAATCTCCATCAGTATCTTCATTTGCTTGTTTTTTTTTGTGGGGATAACAATTCTGTGAATCCCTAATACAAAGCTGTTTCCAAAAAATATCTGCAGTTCATAGCAAAAAGCTCTGGCATCAGTGAAGACCTTTCTTTTTCTATTGCCAGTAGCTCTGCTGGACATAAATCTATCATTCACACAGTGCCTTTCATTTGAAATTCAATTAGTTCCACAGCCAATATCGCCTTAAGATGTTTTAAAAGAGAATTACAAAAATATTGTATGACTACTTGTCACAGTAATTAAGTCATATTGTATTTTATGCTCATTTCTTAAAATGATTTTATTAATACAAGCTGTTCATGTACTAGGATTTTGATATGTATTATAAATCTTTTCAGTTTAGTTGGTTCTTTTTAACTGATCTGAAATTTTGTCCCTATAGCACTACCACATGTCTAACATCCATATTATACTGCAATCCTCCTAAATGTGGTCTATCAGTTGAGTATAGCGTAAGCTGGGTAAATACTTTCAGCTGACAAAATAAAAAATGAATAGGCATTGTTGTGATTATGTCCACTAGGTAGTCGAATGGTGAAGGAAACGGTGAAGCATGCACACAAGTATTATTCCATTCCTCTTTCCATAACTTACTTGTGGGCCAAAAAGATATCACATAAACATTTTTATCAACCAAGCTCCGTTTCACATAAAATAAACATGCTAGGTGTCATTAAGTGCACCTTCAGATCAATGATTTTTGCAAATGACATTCAAGTACCATTTGAGTGGTGCATTTTTGCTGATAAAAGCAAATTAAATTAGCACAACTACAAGTGTGCTGATAAAAACTAAAACTGAACAGCAGCACCATTAGCTAACAAAGTAATATTTTCCCTTTACTGCTTTCTGCCATTTAGTTATTATCCTATTGGAAATCTAATTATAATCCTTTTACTCCCTAGTCAAACTTCACAATTTTTGCAAGCTTAGCACTGACAAGTGATTTCATTACATTTGATTGCCCGCACCCAGATTGACTTAACTTCACTCAGAGACCTAAAAGCCCTCTCAGTTTCTCAGATTCCCTGTTTGCACATTACAGCAACAGCTCCTTTAATTAATTAGCATGAACAGCAGTAACATGAACTGCTGAACAGAAAATAACATCATTTTATGATCGCAAGGAGACTTCTCCTTTTGCATGTTTATACCTTAGTAAACTTTTGTATGACTATTTTATTGTTGGAGGATATTGATACAATAATCAAAGCACATTATCTTATTTTTTATAAACAGATAATAATTTAATACCAGATGAACCAATACAAAAAATGAAAGCCCTATATTTTAGTAAACAGAAGACACTATTGGGAAACTGACTTCCATAAGTAAAAAAGTCTGAGAAATACACCATAAAGTACAAGGGCAAAGTGACACAATGCTGCTGCAATTTTTGTTTTTGAAAAGCCAGGAACATATTTAATGATGACTATCAATAAGCATCCATAACTTTTTTGCTTCTTTACACATTTGGCAAAGATAAAAGACTATTTAACTTTAGAATGTATTTTGTTGTCTATTATTTATTATAAATCTGCTGGAACCCAGTATTTGCTTTTTAGTATCTCAATGTACCAAAGCCAATTGTAAAAGTCAGCCTCTGTGACAAAAAGAAATGAGCCCAATTTAGTCACCACTTTGTCACTGTACCAAATTCTGCCTCCAGGTGCACTTTATAAATCACACTGAAACAAGTTGCCGTCAGTGGTGGTTGAGGGTACTTAGCATATCATACTAAAAGAGTTCAGCACCTTGCGAGCCTGAGTCCCAATGTCCTAATCCCTCTGAAGTCACAGCTTCAGTAAGAACAGGCCAAGGCCCTGTGACATTGTCAGGGTGAGGATGGGGAGCAGGGAGGAGGGAAGGGAATCAGATCTGGCATTTTAAGACTAGCATCTTACCTTTGGATGTAATAGAGCCCTGTTATTTCTCCCACTGCCCAGAAGGCTCTCATCAGGGTATGTCTACACTACCCCGCTAGTTCGAACTAGCGGGGTAATGTAGGCATACTGCACTTGCAAATGAAGCCTGGGATTTGAATTTCCCGGACTTCATTTGCATAAGCGGGGAGCCGCCATTTTTAAAACCCCGCTGGTTCGAACCCCGTGCAGCGCGGCTACACGGGGCTCGAACTAGGTAGTTCGGACTAGGATTCCTATTCCGAACTACCGGTACACCTCGTTCCACCTTTGCCAAATGTGTAAAGAAGCAAAAAAGTTCCACGAGGTGTACCGGTAGTTCGAACTAGCGGAGTAGTGTAGACATACCCTCAAATACCTTCCTTTTTGTATCCTGTGTCCCCTCCTCCACCCAAACCTTATTTTCTCTCACTTATATGTATTCTGCCTTGTCTCATTTATGTCTGTTTCCATAAAGCACTCTTCTCATGCTGGTTGCATTGGTAGTTTCTGCAGGGTTCCTTAAACTGTGAGTAGAATTTTAAAAAATAGTGTATCATATTGTTTGTGTTAAACAGAACTTTTTGTTTTGAGAGACCCCTACATAGTGATACATTCTCTAATAAAATATTCCCTTTCTGTTCTATTAAATAAGTCGAAGCTACTTCCCCCATTCCAAGAGCTCCTTTTTAAAAGTCAATGGATCCACATTTGATTTCACCTTTTGTTATCATGGAGGAGTAAGGATTCCACTGGTTAATAGGTACTACTTAATTTTCTAATGTTGCAAGAATAATAATTCTGAATAAAATACTGTAATGGTTGCAACAAAAACATTAGCCTATACTTGATATAAGGATAGCAAAAGTTATATGCATCTTTTGAGACTTCTAAACCAAAGCAGCTTGTTTGCTAGTCACACGCTAGGTGCTCAGTAATATGAAACATTTTTGGTTGCAGGTGAAAGAGAATTGGGATTGGTTTGCTTTGTGTGGGGATTGATTTCTTTTTTGTTTTCTTTTGTTTTTATTTACGGAAAACTAGGAAAAGAAAATGAATTTTTCCAGCAGAAAAGCTTCTCCATCCATTATATTCTATGTATCCATTATTGGTTCTTAGGAAGAAGATGTGAACATTTTAATCAGAGATAAAGCTTTAGTAGGCTTGAATCTTATCTCAGCACTAACTACAATACTGTTTCACTATGTATTCACCTGGGCGTTTGCAACCAACATCTGCATATCTTGTATTTAGTGTATGATAGACTTGCCCTTCTCTTCTGTAACACATTAAAAAAAATCTCATTTTATATTCAGGTTACCAGCTCTCTCCTGTACAAACCACAATAGGAAAGGGACATCTCCTATGTTAACAAGAAAAATGGAATAAAAAAAACTGTGGAGAAAAGTGTTTGACTTAGAGTGATTCTGTGCTTGTTTGCTTCCTCATTTTTCTTAAAGGAGCACTGTCACAAGTAGGAGGCTGAAAATATCAGACTTTGTACAGTAGCTTATAGGTTGGGGGAGAAGGACCAAAAGAAATGGGTTTGAAGGAAAAAAAGAGGGATAAATTAAGTATAAAATGTGACTATATATGATAATTGTAATTACTGCCTCCCAATTTTGTCGTGTTTAATATAAATTAAGCCTTCAAAAACACTGAACAATTATGTTGTGGGAAAAAAAAGAGGTATATATACCTTGAAATAACTACTTTGTCAGGAAAGAAAACATAATCCTACAGGAAAATTACAATAGGATTTCGGTCACATAGGAACTGAGCAATTTTTACTTAGTTATACATTGCAGGAGCTGGGGAGAAGCTTTCTAAAGGTCTTGCTTATTAAACTAGTCATGCATTTCACTGTAGGTTGTAAAACAGTATAACATACACAGGGGGCTCATAAGCATTTTTTAGTGGTAGGGAATATCATTTATGCACTTTTTATATTGTCACTATTGCCCCTAGAGAATGAGATTAAGCTTTAAACTACTGTTAATCTGCAGTTTTGCTCACCTTTGTGTAATTTCATTTTTAATAGAATGAAGCCCACATAAATGAATATTTGATTAAGGGATTAAACCTACTAAAAGAATACATTTATTGCACACAGATTTATTCAAATCTTAACTGTATAATACTATAAAATGCTATAAAAAGAGTATGTCTATTGCAGTCAGCTGAACCCTGGCAGGAAAGAGTTACTGAATATTCTTTGGTACTATGAATTTTTGTATTCTATTGCCTTTCTGCTAAAAACTGCATCAAAAATGTTTTTTAAAACTTTAAATTTCTTGGAGATTTGATTGTATGAAATTAGAGAATGTCATATAGCAGGGGTCAGCTAATACTGGCCCAACAGGGTTAGCTCCTGGTGGGCCCCCATCACTATATTTCCCTGCACAGCCACTACCGTTTACCGCAAATCACAATTCACAGCCAATAGGAGCCGTGGGAAGAGGTGTCCCGATCTGTGCCACTTCCCACTGCTCCCATTGTCAAGGAGCAGCAAGCCACAGCCAAAAGGAGTCACAATCACCTGTACCTGTGGCTGTGCAGGTAAGTATAGTGGAGGTGTCTCACCAGGGGCTAACCCTGGAAAACCACCACCACGTTACTGCCTGCCCCTGCCATATAATCAAATTCAGTAGCACAACTATTAATACAGAATTGTTTCTGATGTCTGAACAGTGATCTTGAAATAGGAAATATTTAAATTTCTCATTACTTGTAGAAAGTCTGAGGGAAGGCATGTTAGTCTATAACTTTTAAAAACAAGGAATAGTTCTGACACACCTTAGAAACTAACAATGATATATAGGCTCATGAGTTTTCATGGGTAGAACCCACTTCATCAGACAAGTTAGAGTGGAAATAAATTCCAAGCTCTATATAACAGGAAATGAAGTTACCTGTCAATTGTAGGACCCATGTTAATGAAGCTAATTAAGTGGGGTTGCATGTTGCATGTCCTATTCATAGCTTTTGATCTGAAAATGCGAATATCAAAGGCTGGGGAAATTGGCTTTGTAGCACGTTAACCAGTTAATATCTTTATTCAAGCCCAGGGTGACAGTGTCAGATTTGTAAATAAATTCCAGTTCAACAGCCTCTCTCTGTAAATATCCAGGTAGGTTAAAATGTTCCCCTACAGGATTATGTGCGTTTCCATTTCTGATGTCTGATCTGTGTCCATTTATCTTTTGTTGCAGTTGGCCAATATACATAGTAGAGGGTCATTGCTAGTACTTGATGGCATATATCACATTAGAGGATGTGTTATATGAGCTCCTGATGTTGTGGCTGATATAGTTAGGTCCTGTGAAGGTGTGGCTTGTATAGATATGTGAACAAAGTTGGTAACAGGGTTTGTTGCAGGAGTAGGCTCCTGGGTAAGTGTATCTGAGCTGTGGTGTGTGGCTGCTGGTCAGTATTTGCTTCAGTTTGAAGGTCTGTCTGTAGGTGAGGATTGGCCAGAGGGATCATTTTCCAGGACAGGTTGTAGTTTGTCAATGATGAGCTAGAGAGGTTTAAGCTGGGGGACTGTAGGAGAGGCCCAGTGATGTTCTGTTATTTTCCTTCTTGAATCTGTCTTGAAGTAGGTAACTTCTGAGTACTTGTCTGGCTCTATGGCTGTGTCTACATTGGCATGATTTTCTGGAAATGCTTTTTACGGAAAAGTTTTTCCATGAAAAGCATTTTTGGAACAGAGCATCTAGATTGGCATGGACGCTGTACCGCAAAAGCACTTTTTGCGGAAAAACGTCCGTGCCAATCTAGACACGCTTTTCCGCAAAAAAGCCCCGATCGCCATTTTTGCGATCGTGGCTTTTTTGTGGAAAACAAATCTGAGCTGTCTACACTGGTTTTGCCTGAACGGGAGCAGAATAGTATTTCCACAAGAAGCACTGATTTCTTACAGTAGGAAGTCATTGTTTTTGCAGAAATTCAAGCGGCCAGTGTAGACAGCTGTCAAGTTTTTCTGGAAAAGCGGCCGATTTTCTGGAAAAACTGGCCAGTCTAGACACAGCCTATCTGTTTCCACACTTCTCCAGGTGGGTATTAAAGTCTTGTAGGTAGATTGGAGGAAATCTGGTTGTATTTTAGGGCGTGGCTGCAGACAATGGATTGTGTGATGTGCCCTGGATGGAAGCTAGAGGCGTGTAGATAAGAACAGTAGTCAGTAGTTTTCCAGTAAAGAGTGGTGTTTGTGACCATCACTTATTTGTACTGTAGTGTCAAGGCAGTGGATCTCTTGTGTAGCCCGATGCAGGCTGAGGTTTCTAGTGGGGTGGAAATTGTTGGAGAATTCCAGAAGGGAACATTTTAACCTACCTGGCCACTCAGTCATGGATTTAAAAGTAGCCATTATTCTACAAAGGAATTCCACTGCTATTTAACAGATTGGAAAACTAAAGGCTTTAGTATTTAGTAGAGAATTTAATGGAAAAATTTAAATAGCAAGTCAGTGGCAGCATTAAAATCCGGACTACTAAACAATATTACCCCATGGAAATTTCTTACACATTGCCACTCTCCATTTTAAATATTTATAATAGCAGCATTGACATTAGTCAAGAATAAAATCAAGAAATACACTGCATTTACCATCCACAGAAATAGATCTCAACAAGTGCTTTAGGCAGAACACCTTAAACCAGTTCATAGAATTATAGAACCATAGAGCTGGAAGAGACCTCAAAACTCCAGCCCCCTGCTCTAAGCAGGACCAATCCTAACTAAATAAACTCAGCTAGGGCTTTGTCAAGCCGAGACTTAAACACCTCTAGGGATAGAGACTCCACTACTTTTCTAGGTAACCCATTCCAATGCTTCTCCACTCTCCTAGTGAAATAGGTTTTCCTAATATCCAACCTGGACCTCTCCCACCACAACTTGAGACCATTGCTCCTTGTTCTGCCATCTGTCTCTACTGAGAACAGCCTTTCTCCATCCTCTTTGGAACCTCTCTTCAGGAAGTTGAAGGCTGCTATCAAATCCCCCCTCACTCTTCGCTTCTCAAGACTAAACAGACCCAACTCCCTCAGCCTCTCCTTGTAGGTCATATGCTCCAGCCACCTAATCATTTTGGTTGCCCTCTGCTGGACCCTCTCCAATGTGTCCACATCCTTTTTGTAGTGGGGGGGCCCAGAACTGGACACAATACTCCAGATGTGGCCTCACCAAAGCCGAATAAAGGGGAATAATGACATCTCTGGATCTGCTGGCAATGCTCCTCTTAATGCACCCTAATATGCCATTAGCCTTCTTGGCTACAAGGGCACACTGTTGACTCATATCCAGCTTCTCATCCACTGTAACCCCCAGGTCCTTTTCTGCAGAACTACTACTTAGCTGGTTGGTCCCCAGCCTGTAACAATGCTTGGGATTCTTCGTCCTTGTTGAACCTCATCAGATTTCTTGTGGCCCAGACCTCCAAAGTGTCTAAGTCATTCTGGACTGTATCTCTGCCATCCACCGTATCTGCCTCTCCCCCTAGCATAGTGTCATCCGCAAACTTGCTGGGGGTGCAATCCATCCCCTCATCCAGGTCATTAATAAAGATATTGAACAAAACCGGTCCTATAACCGAACCTTGGGGCACTCCGCTAGAAACCGACCGCCATCCTGACATCGAGCCCTTGATCACTACCCGCTGGGCCCGGCCTTCTAGCCATCTTTCTACCCATCTTACCGTCCATTTATCCAATCCACATTCCCTTAACTTGCTGTCAAGAATATTATGGGAGACCATATCAAAAGCCTTGCTAAAGTCAAGGTTTATCACATGTTACATGAAATTATTCTTGATGAGCAGTAGTTGGTGCTACATAATCCCTGAGATGTCCTACAGAAAAGCAATTTTTTCTAGTTAAATGTGTCTGGATTAAGCAAAGTGCCTTTTATTACAAGATCTATCAGGGTGAAATTTAACACAAAGGCCTGTGTTTCACATAAAAGCCACTGAAACCACAAAATAATGTTTGTGTATAACTCCTGTACTAGCCCTTTGAATGGGGTGAATTCATGTACTGCATGATCAGGTAAGTTAGTAATGCTAGGTAATACATATTGGCTGATTATTTGGAGTGCTTTTATACACAGCCTTTCCCATTCCCTATGTGTAAGGCTGCATCTACACTGCAGTGCTATTTCAAGATAACAGAGTATCCCAAAATAGCAATCCTGCATGTTCATAGGAAGCACCTTATTTCAGGCTCGCTATTCTGACATCCCTGTAAATCTCATTCTATGTCGAGTAACGAATGTTTCGGAATAGCACTTTATTTCTTAAACTAGTTCCAATTTTGCAAATGTTTTGTACATTTGAAAAATAGATACACATGGATGAAAATTTTTTGCTGTGAATCGTTCAGCTGGTTCTCCTCACTTAGATGCAAATTGCAGATCTTATTTCAATGGTATTTCAGAATAGTTTATTTCGTCATTTGGTGTTGTGCAGTTAGGTGTGTCATGCATATAAGTCAGTGAACATTCTTAGTGGAATTTACATGATGCCTATTTGCATCATTAGGCACCAACATACTCTTGAAAATCTTGGCTCCTGTGGACTAGGAAGGAAGCAACTTCCTTGCAGAGTACGGAGTTTTTGTGTTAATGAAATAGGTCTCCCATATGAAAGCATATAGACTATGCACTAAGCCCTTGGGTCTAAATAGGGTCTTCTGAAGGCATTCAAGGACAATCAATATCTGCTATATCAACAGGGCAACATGAGTAACAATCCGTTAGCTAAATGTACAAAACTAAAATACATTACAGGATGCAATGTGAGGAACACTTGTGAATCTGCTTTAAAAAACCATAATATGTACATTTCTGCTGTCCCACTCCCCAAACTTTCTCTTATGAATCTTAAAACACTAAATGTTGTCAATCATAGGTCCCCAAAAGTATTTTTTTCTAACTCCTGCTGAGGTTCCCTGGCTCCTCCTGATCTTCAGTCTTATTTACCTGCAAAGTACATATTAGATCATCTCTGTATGGGGAGTAGGAGCAGTCTTGAAAACATGAAACATTCAATTGCTAATTAGCTACTTCCTGTTCCTAATGAACTCAGCATGTCAGAGTTGGATTAAAATTCAGCTACTGCTCTCCCCTGTTTATGGTTCCAGATGTTTTTGTTTTATCTAGGAGCTTATTTTGACAGCTACTGCTAAATGATAAATCACTCATATTATAACTGAAATGCATTTTGAAATTGAAATGTGGCAAAGTTTGAGGTTGCTCCAAGAATCAGTGTCAGTTAGCAGGTCAATACTAGTTCTTTCCTTATGAGTATTCAGTATTGGCGTATGTAAAATAGCAATGGAATAGATCTTAACATTATACAGAATGCTACTCAAGATTATCATTTTGCTACCATCTTTAATATCAGAACGAGTAGTTCAATGACTATTGGATAGGAAAATGGATTTATATTACCTTTGGCTTTCTGTGGGTATTTTAACATTTATTTTTCTTTGGGCGTAAAGCTGCTGAACATGACAATCACACATGATAGTCTCTGAACCCACACAAATTGTTTATGATGTGTGTGGGTGGATTTCTCTTTGTTTCCTCAAAAAGAAAGTAATTAGATAAATACTGCATGAAGGGGTGTTCTAAGTAAAACACCATTTTTCTGTGGAACACACACTGATTTATTCCTGTTATCATTTTGATTTTCACTGTAGATTTATTCTTCAGGAGCACTGCTCTGTAGAAGACTTTTGGGTCTTTAATAGCCACATTTTACTCTGCACAGCATAAACTGCATTTTTTTTCTG